CCGGTGGTCCGGCGATCACAGTTTGAGAATGGTGCGTGATGGATGGACGCACCGCGGCCTCTCGCTTAGGCGGTCAATGATGCCCAAAGCCACGGCCATCAATTCAATTTGAATATTTTAATAGTCGGAACTGCTATTACTGTCTTAACAATAATTCAAAGATGACGAATTAGTACATGAAGAGGAATATACGAAGGAATGCGTGTCTACATGCTTCGGAGGGAGATGATCATAATTCTGTTTATAAATTGATGTTCTTTTTCTTCCTCTTACTTTACGAAACCTAAATGAGCTTTTGTCGAGAACGGACCTAATAAAACTTCGTGTAAACAGTCGAGTAAAAATATTCAAATAGGGTCATGTTAAAATGCTTTGCTATAATTATTAATTTAACTGGATATTAAAATGCGCGAGGGTATTAAGAACGTTGGATTGCGAATATATTGAAACTAACTTTTTATTTTGCTGGAAGAAAGAAATGAACAGATATTGATGGAATGGAAGTTGGAACAGATATTGATGGAACAGATATTGATGGAGTAAGAGTAGCAGGAAATAGAAAAGAAAAGTACAATACCGACGTAACGAATATTTACTTCATAACAAAAATTACCCAATGCCCCAATTTCATGCATGCCAGGGCACACAGTCAACACTTCATGCACATCGTATTCGGTGTATGGGAAACAGTCGTTATATCATCCATCAACTTGTTAAACAGACAGTTATAAAAACATAGAAAGAAAGACGACGAAAATAACCTTCCTTTGAAGTGGCCATGTCTGCCATTAATCTTCAGACCAGTGAATAGACATTTTGGAACAACCGGGTACTCGACTTAGTAAGCGAAACAGCTTGCCTCTATGTTGGCTAGCTCCCTGTTATCAGGTTTGCGTGAGTAACTACAACTTGGTTCTTATGGTAGTTTCAAATCCTACGCTTAGAAAAACATTTACTTCGTTCTACAACGCCTAGCGGATTTCACCGTAGTCATGAGAGGTGCTCAGACAGGACCTGTCGAGGAAAGATCCTACTAAATTTTCCGTCCGTTGCGCCTCAGAAAAGTATTGTACTAATTTACAAGATTTACAGAATTAAAATGTAAATGTTGAAAAAAGTCATAGCAAAATAACCTGAACTATATTGGCTGAAAAATATGCAATATAACAATAAATATGAAGAATATATGCATTACTTTTAAAATAATTCCTTTTGGATTTGTCTTCATACATGCACACCTAAATTTAAATAATACTGCATTATGCAAATATAAGAATATTAAAGAAACATTTTATACCACAGCACAAAACAGACAACACATTTTCGAATAAAGCGTCTAATACTAGGTTAAGTTTTTTACATCCATTTCTTTACAAGAGCTCGCTTATGAATACAATTCCCACAGCGATATTCCTCGTGAAGTTAAGAGCGATTCGCCGCAACACAGTACCGCCGTCAAAAGCCGGCACTGTGTCTTTCAAAGACAGCCAAAGTGAATGGAATGCCGCAGGCGTTACGTGTGGCGCGGCAGGAAGCTAGCGCCGCCGCCGCCGCCCCCAGCGCTGTGCTCCCACCCTCCCCCA